ATTATCAGGGACAGCCAGCCAGCGGTGAAATTCTTCAATGTACGTGGCATATATTACCCATTTAGAAGGGAGCCAAATAATCACTTCACTGTTAGTCTGACACGCGGTTACCCCCCAAAAGAGTGTTCCGTATATGAATTTCAGGCCTGATCTATATGCTTTTCACCACGAATGGACAAGGCAGAGGTACAAGATTTTTTAGTGATTCAAGCGCCGTAGGCGAATCAATGCCTAATTTCATTTCATTTTGTGAATGCACTTTACTGTGACATTATTGTTGCAGCCACTTTTTATATTGGCAAATGCAAGATTGCCATCAGCTCAAAGAAAAGACAAAAATCCCTTTTGTGGTCGCCAGTAGTTTAAACAGCTGGGGCACAGCAAAGAGTTGTAGTTATGGCTTTAATTAAGTGTCCCTTTCCCATTCAAGAGTTTCGTCACGTTGTATCGCAGAGTGGCCTTTGGGTGTATGGGTGTGTGTTGGTCAGTGGTTGCCCCCACTGCTTCATGGATACAATCGCTGACAAAACATCGTCATTGCGGGTACATGTACCTAAAAACCACACCCACTGTTTTTACAGATCACCCGATTGCAGCCTTCATTGGAGCATATTAAAACGAATGGTGCTTAGCGTTTTACCAACTACAAACATGCACCTACTTGTGCATTTTCCATTCGTAAAATAAAAATCGGTTTCTACGCGTTTAACGGAGACTACAATACGTGCAGTGATAGTTGAGGTGGAGGTTTACTCGATGTTAGTCTTTTGTTCAACTTCAAAAACGTCTATCGAGTTTTATGTATACATTGTAAATGACCAGAAAACGATTGTGAAGACATGCTATCATGCATTGAAAGTAAAACAGAAGAAAAATCTTTCTTTTTTTCTGTGTGCATTCAAACTCTTGCGTGAAATTCGGATACTTGTTTGACTCTTCAATTGTGTCACGAAGCGCTTGTTTGTTTCTTTTGGTGCATATTACGACGCCAAATTGTTCTCGTTCGATTGGTGATCACTGGTGGCACGATCTGGTCAGCTAAACAAACACTTCAGTCCGTGTTTACCGTCCAGCCACGCCGTGGGATCGCCAGACCAACTCTCTCGGCAGCGCAGTCTTGACCCCTTGTACGTCGTCATCCGTTCGCCCCTTACCGACCCTGGGGCAGGTTATCTATATCCCTGGTGTCTTCATCATCCGCCGCTCATTAGGCAGGTCAGATCCCGGCGCATGGTCTGTCTGTGACGTCGAGCACGCGGAAAAGCGCCGCTGCATATTACAGACGCGTACGTACACGCGTGCCGGAAAGCCGACAAAATCATTCCGGCATCCAGGACCGGGCCTTTTGTGCCGACGTGATTCGAGCTGTGGAGTCATGCTATCAGATAAGCTGCCCGTGGTCATGATAGTGCACTGCTTTGTTTGGGGGAGACAGAGACGCTATATCCCTGGAAATGACACGGTAATTCAGCTTAATTTTCCCGGGGGTGTCAAGTTTCACAAGCAAATCGAACCTGCTCGGACGACTGCCGTCATAATACGCACATGCGCTCTGCCCTAAGGGCGATCATAAGCTTGAGAAAAGTGGTATTTTTTCAATAACACGTTTCGGTGGTTTCCATTCTTTAAAATTGTACAGTTGCTATGTCTTCAAACTTATGACTGAAAAAAAACAAATGGAGAAATCTACTGCTAAATTAGAAATATGTAAAAGTCATTTAATTCAGGTCTTTGAAGAAGAAAACTGGGAAAAGGGTTTTGAAACGACAGAAAATAACTGCTTGAGACGTCTACAACACTTACGGGCTCAGTGATCGACAAGACGGATGCATGGCCCGGGCCGAAAGATCGAACCCTTGCTGCCGACAATGCGCAGGGGATTCCATGTGCACGCGCTGATTTTTTTTCATCTGTCTTGAATCAGCATGGTCACCTGACACCGCAGCCGGAAGGGTAATTGGATAACCGGAAGGTCCCGGCGTTTCTACCCTTGTGCGCTGTACTCACATGTCTCCTTTCAATTTCGTTTTCTCCCATTCTTTCGTCTCTTTTCATCGTGATTCTGCGTGAAGTTCTTCCCCCTTTTTGTAGATAACCTGTCTTTTTAAGGGGGCGCGATTCTTTTTTCCTCCACCAAACATCCCTTGCTGTTATCCATGATATCCCTCTGTATCAAGTACCATTTTGGAATGTTCAAGAACCTATTAATTTCCCCTGAAGTTGAAAAGGAATCCGAACGGGACTTTTTCCAAGACAAAGGGTTTTGGCACCTCATTTGATACTCGTTTATTCTGAATGTTTCACGACAGGGACATCCTCGGTCCTTCAGCCATATTTTTCAACTTCTCTTTTTCTATTCCAAACACAAGTCACTGGTGTACCCTTTTTAGCTAAAAGACTCAAACATAGCCAAAAGGCTGCTGTAAGTTAGAATCAAGATGTAAACCGTAGCCCGATTAACCTCCATCGAACACACAATAAAAGTTGGCATAATCGAGTGTCGCATTGTTTTGTACGGACCAACTTACAGAAGTTGGTCGCATCGCTGGTTATCAATAGCCGTGCAACACTCAAATAACCAGGACATAACGAATTTGCAGTGATATATAGTATCAGAAAGGAACGAGGCGTATCACAAATCAATGGCTGGACGCTGACTGCATATTTTCGACGGCATTGCTCTTTTCGTACCGAGCCTCGAAGTGTCCATGCAATGAATGTTTCTGAAGTGTATGAGAACTGTTTCAAAGCATTTGGGAGTTAAGTGTACAGAGAAGCGCCTTTTTTAACACTAAAACTGGTCCAAGCTTTGATATAAATCAAGGAAGACAGTGTTCAGTTAACATGTTTTTATGTTAAAACTTTGTAACCCCAAATTCACTGTTTAACAACATTTCTTACATTTGCTTGCTTGCGTTTTGCAAAACACTAACCCAGTTATAAATTGCCAGAAAAATGCAAATTTACGACAGCAAAATAAAACATATTCCAGTTTGTTTTAAATTTGTGTGCACAAATCAATGACACAAATCAGTGACTGGGGTACCATCGCAGTTTTGCTTTTGTATTCAAATTCGCAATGGCAAAAAAAGACTGCAATGTACAGATTAAAATAGCAAAACAAAACTAAAGGTGCAGTATCGAGGTCTGTAGTAAAATAGTCGTATTACATAATTGTTCCCTTTAATGAGTTTCTTGTTGATTCTTGAGCATTTTGACAGCTTAAAGAGCCCTGCTGTTTTACCAAATGTACAATTACTACGGCAAGGGTGGTGTGAAACTTTAATGGCAACGCAAGACAGAAATTGCTCATCACAGAAGTCATGGTGAGAATAATTCACGACGATAGTCACAATACGTCTCGACAAATGTCGCAAATTGTGTTGATGATATAACCTTGGGGTCTTTTCCAGTTAGTCAACGGAAAAATGACTTTTAAAAGAGCCAGAATTTTTCAGACCATCTCACAGCCGGGGTTGGAAATCCCCCTGAGAATTCGGCTGCCCCACACCCGATTTTTTTGTAACCTTCATATGGCGTAGTTGTAGAGTCACTCATAAGTAACTCCATGCAGTTTCAATTCGATCCCGTATAGGATTTATTTTTACGGTAATTTAAAATTGGTGACCTCAAGTGTATCTGCATGCCCGAGTGCACTGCGCACATCAATGGACAAGTTGACATTTTTGGGCCTGACCTATCACAGAAGCATAGGTGTGTCGCGAGAATGGTGCGTCCAATTTTCAAAATATTGGTATCAAAGTGATGGCCAGAAATCACTCCAAAACTCCTGAAAACTTAGCGATGGAAAAAAAAAGCAATGTGACGATATCCATAGAAAGTGTCGAGGGCAGGGTCGCATCCGTCCACGGCTGTTTTAGGATTAATGGCTAAGCAAAACACTACATAATTTCCCGTGGTAATTAAGAAATGCCACTGATGGCAGGGAACAATGATTTAAAAGTAATTATATTTTATATAATTGGAAGGCTCGGTGTTTAAAAAAACCTTTGAACCCCGAATTTTCAGCCACATGATATGGGTATGTTTGCACTTGTTCGCTCTAGGATGATTCTGTAAACAGACTATGGTGAGGCTTACTGGAACAGTTATTTCTACGACGCTTTTGTTGCAAGGAGACTGCTCCAATTTCCATCCGAAAAAAATACGTAGAAACGAATACATTTAAAATGGCACGCTCTACTGTCGATGCAAACAAATTGAGATTATTATTGGAATATCTGGCAGAGTAGTGCTCGCTCGGTTGGGTCTGACATTTAATGTTCCGTTCCCTAGCGATGCCGAATAACCAGCGTCCCTTTTCTTCTTCCTCTTGATCAGAGCCGGTCCGGGGAAACCGTGTAATTCCGCGGCCTTGAGGTTGACATAAGTGAATGCTGCAGCTTGTGTGCTCATGGACGAGCTCGGTCGGGCAGCTATCGACCACTCTGCCAGCCGCGCCAGCCATGCATGTATAGTGCGATAAATTATTCCTAACCAATATGCCCGAAACACCCTCACATTTTCGGCGTCTGCATCTGTTTATTTATATATTTTGCCTCAAGTACATACAACATGGTTGGGGATGGAACTCGGCAAGTGCTAACGATAAAAGGCATCTATGTTATATTAATCGAAGCGCTTTGGGGCTCTCGTGTAACCTTTGAAATGATAAAACCCAACGAAGCTTCAATAATTTACCACATCACCTCGAGTAAGTTTGAAGCGTTCGGTGTACAATGATAACTCTGGTTGTTTTTGTTTTTATTTGGGGGTGTTTTGTTTTAATTATACCATCAGTTTCGATCCTCAATAAAAATTGTGATGTGGTATCAAACGTATCAAAGTCTCAAATGAGAAATCCTGAAGCCAACTTAATAAGGTGAATTTTTAGATTTTTTTTTTAGATTTCATTGCCCTTTCCATTTTGAAAAGATTTGCCAGAAACGCTTTAAATAATGATATAATTTGATGTAAGCAAACGCAGAGAAACAAATATATCCGAACACAAACACAGTCTCCATTTATTTGATCCAATGATGGGCTAAACCCATTTCCATCAATATTTGAATTTGCATATGAATAAATATGAATAGGGTTTGGCACAGTTGGGTTTGCTTGAGAGTATTGTGCACGTCGACACTTGCACGTTGTACTCAACGTGTTAATTTACATAAATGATCCATAATAACTGACTGATATTAGTTCATTTATACATATACATCGAACGATACTTTTTAGGATCACCATAGCCTGCAGCAAGGAAACCAGTAATTTTCAGCAAATTTATTTAATAATAAGGCTTACATACCTGCGTAATCTCTGCCAGGCTCTGAAACTATACCTCCACTTCTACCGCGACCGCCGGTCAGTATATAATCCTGTACCCCCCCTCGGCCCACCCATCAAATCAAGCTCGGCTTTCCAATCTATTCTTTCACAAAATTGAAAGGTTGTTCTTTCATTGAAAAAATAGGGTGGATGTCGAACTAGAAACCGCATGGGGAACCAACATCTATCCCGCGGAATCCCAGGCCGGGTCAGTGATGCAATTGTTTCTGATTACATTGAAAAAAAAAGTAGATCTATAAAAATCATAGCTTTCTCAGAAGAGCGCCGGCATGACAATGACAGATTGATACAATTTTCTGGGGACAGCCACACAAAAGTTTAACCTATTTTTATTTCCACTGACAAAATCCCATTTTGAATAAAAGGGGCCAAAGTGTGAGAGGAACTGTCCAAACACAACGTCCTCGGTGTATTTGTATTGGCGTGCACATCTGCCCTGGCCATCAATTATCTTATCCGGGTCTTGATAAACACGCTGGGATGACGTCAGACATGATTTTATTTTCCCTTCAAACATTAGCCATCCTGGTCCTTACTCGTGGCGTAGTGCATTTCCCCCAATACTGATGTTGAGAGGCAAAATGTGTTCTCCATTTTCATTTACAACATTGAAGGAAATAAGCACTCTTTCCAACTTACTGTTGTCTCTAATCTAATTAGAGCTCACATTTTTCACATTGGCGTCTTGCAGTTCGTGTTCTTTTATCAATTATGACCTCATAAGCTACCTTAATTTATCAACAGATATGCAATACACATTAGTACTGACATTCAAATTTACCACTGTGAACTAACATGGCTGTATTAAACTAAACTTTCAGAAAAGAAGCACTAATTTATTGCACTCTAGAAAAAAATCAGCATACACCAACATTGACTTGCTTGTGTAACCTTCCAGACGGGAGATTCAATTTAAGAGAAATGAGTTTTCCACAATGCTCATGTTTAAAATTTTGAGCTTTTGCAAAATCGACCAAGAAATCAATCATTGTTCGCACAAACCTCTGTATGCCTTGGGCAAATTTCGTTCACAGCTGGGAAAACTCACAGCAGTTAGAATGCCACTTTCCCAGTTGTCATAAGAAGCGCACAATGAGCATAATTTAGACTACGTAAAATTATCACACTTAATACACCAGTTCCCATTAATTGTAATAAATTTCGCTTTATGTATGTATGATTTTGATGTACTTGGGATTTCATTTGTCGCCGACATTTCAATGTTTACTGTTTGTTCGTATAATTTACACCATTCGGGAGATTCTTTGGTGGTAGGATCGGCCAAATCAATTGGTCCACCTGGCAATATTCCCAGGGAAGTGATAGGCCCGTAATAGAAAGCCAGAGAATTCTGTCCGTTTACTTCATAAAATTTCCCCTCACAATCATAACAGATGTTTGTTTGCCTTCGCTGCATTTGCGCACATTAAAATTTCCCACACCGTATACTTGCGGGGAAATTTCTCTTTTTATTGCAGTCATTCGGCACAAATTACGCTCAGTACAAAACAAATAAAAAAGCCAATGATGTGTCTTAATTTAAATCGTAAGAGGTACAGCGGCAAGGACGGATCAAGGACTTTGTCCTGGGGATGTGTTAAGCTCATCAGATTTTTTATGTCTAAGTGTTCCAGACAGGTGATTATTATAATGAGCTACATTGTTACGATGTACACATAATAACCCTTGCATTTCATCTTTATTTCATGTTATTTTTTTGTAGGAGGGGCAGCTGACAGCCTCGATGGCGCGTACTTGCCATAATGATCACTTATCATGTACCCATGACATTCTTAATGCACTCGGTGCAAGTGTCCTACACAGAACTCTATTCAGCTTCAAGGGGCCACTCAATAGCGTTTTTTCATTTTGTTCACCACAGCGTACGGTGGCTGTGATCTGTTTTGCTTCCGCGATGCACATGCACTATTTTTTACCACGTCGGAAACACCGAGAGCCGCCCAAGGATCTCTGCTATGACCACCCTTTAAGACAAATCACAGAAAACAACGCTGCAATTAATGCATACCTGATACTGGACTTCAGCTAATTTATGTGAGAGGTTAATATCCCCCGTACGCTTGCCTGAAATTTTTCAAAACAGCAAGCTTCATGAATTACGGCGGATGTTTTTTTCCCATTCATTTGAAAGAAGGACCCTGGCGGCCGTGAAATGACGTAAGTCTCCACCCGCACTTTAATCCGATTATAAACCATCACGGAAAAAAAGCAAATAAAAACAACCACCGCTGGATTGGTGAGTCTTGGCAATTACCCGTTCGTGACAAGCCTAAGACGCCTACTAATCAAGTTACGAAATACTATCATTTCAGATTTCTCGAAAACCATTAATTTCTAGTTGTACAAACTGCTTGTTGTGGTGCATACAAGATTAAAGCATGAATGAGACGGAAATTACATTCGGAAAAAATGTAAATACCGAGAAATTTATGAAGGACTACGACGTCAACGTAGGTGTTCGAATGATACAGGAACACACATTAGCACCGCGACAAGGAAAAAAGATCATTGTATGGCTATTTAAAAAGTATGCGTACCGCACAATGGAACCAGGACACAGAGACAGCGATGAAAGAAATAATCCTTTAAAGAGAAATATTGTACAATGTATATCATTACAAGAAAAACTCAGACTCTTTACTGAAAAAAAATGAGCGAAAGGATGAGCTTCACTAGTCACATCTGCCTCAGCTCCAAATTCGTTGTGTGCCTCGATCACTGTGCTTGTAAAAATTCTGTTTTTAATTACCCGCATGGTTTGACAAAGACCATTCTCTGAAACAAAACAAAAACATATTATTAAAATGACCATGACTAACCATGCAGTTCATGAACAGGAGGAGTAGTTTTAATTATTGATACTTCGCCTTCATAAAATATTAAAAGATATATACTTATAACTGTGGTGATGAGACCTTTGGTCTACATGTACGTAGGCTATTTTTTTTTTTTTTACTGTCCGACCTTGATTAAGGGCCGCGCTGTTTCCGCGCACTTCCAGTCTAATTATCATGATTGCATTCGGTGCGGGTACGTACACGCACACGCGCTAATTTGATGCCTGTCTGCCCGCCTATCAGACGTACAGCTATTGACCATGCAATCAAACAACGGCGTTAGGGTTGTCCCTACCGTTTAGCAATGCTGCAGCTTGTCAAGAGGGCCTGGTTGGCGGACGATGCATTATTTACCGCACGTGTAGCTGAAATGAGTGCCCGCTTGGTATCATGCACTTCATGGTATTAAAATTTTCAGTCGCCAAGGAACTGCAATTTGCAGGACACGCAGGTCCCTGAATTTCAATCTATCAGTTTAATTTGCATAGGCATTACGAGCAGGGACACAAACTGGCGAAGTGTTTGCAAAGCAATGAAAACTGAAGGTCGACAAATGGCGGCAAAATATGCAGAGAGATGACAGAGAGGTGGAGTAAAGAGGTCACTGGATATAAAACAAACGGAAGAAAGAATCCAGCCATGTGAAGAACAAGAGCTAAAGGCTGGTCTAACGAGAAAACCCCGTTTTCCGTTTGGACATCCTTTTTTATTGTTCAGGGATCCACTGCAATCTCTTACCGACAGAAGCTGTCACTTATTCCTCTATGCGGTGAAACTGACGAAATTATCACCATCATCTTTAGTCCTTTTCCGGGCTCTATCATGCATTGCGATTATCAGGGAAATAAATTACAAGCTGGGTCAGCTTTAGAAATCTTGACAGGATGTGTGTAAGATATTTTAGGTGTTCAGACACCAGTCTGTGAAAACCTGTTAAATATATGATTTTCAGAGAGTGGCGTATGAAGCGCTCCATATACATCAGTGGCAAAAGAAAAGCAAACACACAAAAATATAACAATCCTTGATTAAAAGAGGACAGTGCGCTGTTAAATTATGTTGCTGGATCAGAGAGCTCAAAGGAAACAGAGAGCAACAGGAAGTTCCTGACACAAATGCACCACCTGAATTTGTAGCCCGTTTGCTACTGAAAGATTCAAATTTAATGCTTGCAGCTCGTGTTGCAAGGTAATGACTATACCAGTTAGATGTTACGAAGCAGGAAGTACCTCAGTAATAAAATGAAAAAGCCCATGGCGGAAACGTGTGTCAGGCAGAAAGCTTATCGGTTAATATCATTCTCAAGCAGGCCTCTGTCAATATGTATATCATAGAATTTCGCTGATGCAACTTGCCCGAGTAGAGGGAAGAAAAACTGGGCCTGCTCTTAATGCGGGTCGTTGGCGCAAACGCGAGTTGCCGGATTGCCCTGCCGGCCATTTTGCAAGGCGCGGTGCAGACACGACTAGGGAGGTTTTTCGTGTTGTTACAGGGTCTCGCTCAGTGCAGGTGGACGCGCGCATGCAAGCCGCTGGCAGTGTTGCAGTCCACTTGCTTGCGCAGCACTGAATTTATTAAAACACCCCAGCTCGTGCGGAGGGAGCCCTTGGCGTTGGCCAAGGCAGCCGTCGGGACATGAACCTAGAAAATCCTTTAGAATACGAGCACAGTCATGTCAATATTAAATACAGACTCGAAATATTGAGCCACTAAACAATGGCGATTTTCCTCTGGGCAAGGGATACTTCATCATGTTTGTTTTTGTCCCAATTATAGGTATAATCGACTTGACAAACCTCAGTCTGGTAAAGTGAAATACATGTTTAATTCGGACTCTCTTTAAATGCAAATTTCTCACAAATAAGTGCCTTAAATACCGACAACAACCCCCAGCAAAAATCGCATCTATCCCGGACGCAATAATGCATCACGGTACATTAACTGTACTCTGTGATTGATACATATCTAATTCACCTGCAACCTGTTTTGCAGACACCTGCTCTCAGCGCACTGAATACTACTTGCCATTAACCTACATATCTTAAAGACCAACGCTTGGCATTGTGCATACGCTTAAATCCAGTACATGTATACCTTAAAACCCTTTTTAATGGCTCTGACAAGACTGTCAAATGGTCGGACAATAAGCAATACTGATGACACCATAAAAAGGCCAGAGATTGCAAAAGATGTTAAATTCACTCCACCCCTCCCCCCCAAAACAGTAAATCCGTTTCAAATGCGTGTTTCATACGGCATAACTTTTGGTATCTATAGGTGCAATAAGAACGATACGTTAAATCCACTTCAGCACAATATAAAAACAATGCCATGCATGTGGAGTTCTATCTCGCATTCATAATGAAGAATTTATTCCAACGAGTCGCATACCAAGGCAACAACACAATCCATTTCTATATTCATATATGCAATTATATTTCTCTCCACAACAAGTTGTTATGTATTACAATAGAAATTACAACTTTGTTTTCATGTTCAATCTTACAGTTTCATAATTTGATGCATTTGCAATGCCTTTTGGTATACGATAAGTTTCAGTTCCAGGGACAATTCCGTTAAGTTTGTTCGCAGGAGGAAAATAGTTAAGAATTGTTTACATTGTGAGTAGCGACAATTTCACTGCAGTTTGAATCCACAGAAACAAATCCGAATTTAGACTGGCCTACTGATATGCGTAAGAGAAATTAATTTGCTAATCCCGTAAAGACATATTGCGAAGAAATGTTTGCAAACAATTTGAGACAAGTACTTCATTGGAGTCTAAGTTTTTAAAGGGGGTCCAGTTATACTCTGAGATAAGGAGAATCAGTCTCTTACAAGTAAGCAATTTTGTTGTATTTTGAAACGCTAAAGTGAACACAGCTAAAATATTTTCCATTCATTTGTTCAAAACAAGTCCCTTTAAACACCCTTTTATGCACCATAATATCGTTAAATTTGTTCTAAGGTTCAAGTTCATGTACATTATTTACAAAATTGAAAGCGTTCAAAGTAGCAAAATAATCGAATTGTTTGCAACATTTTCATGTTTTGCAACTTTAGTAACTAGTCCTAGAGCTGAATTTGTTTCAAATGAAGTGTTTTCATTTTGGGAGAGAACAGAAACAAAATGACTGATTGAAAATATTAAGAAAGAACAAGGCTGGGGGATTAGCATTCTTTGTTAAATTAGATTTTTATGACTGGGACAAACTCATAGCCTGCTTGGCGTGCTTCATCAAGAGTGCCTGCTGCAAATAAGGTTTTTATTTCTATTTCATATGATCATTTCCCGGAGTCAAGGCGTGAGCTGAAACTGCCAAAAAAATGTTCCAACCAACACATCTCACTATAGAGGTATCTGTCAAGATCACAAATGAAGGCAAAATCCAAATGTCCAAAATGGAGAAAATTATTTTTGAACTTTGGCTCCAAGGGCAGATATCAACTGAATATTAGAAAATGCTGGAAGTAAGGACTGGTGGCGCTGTTATTCTCTACAACACAATTCCACTGCCATGTGGCATCTTCATGAACACTTGCAGACTAAATGACAAGTACTGACCTGTGGTATTTGCTTCTCTTTACAAGTAGCCTTTGTATAGTTGGACGATACACGGCGTACTGAAACAATACGATATAATGCCATTTCTGTCACCGACTTGTAACATGTATCGACGACAAGAAGTTGTGACAATACCAGAGAGCTGATAGGCACATTTAATTGTTAACAAGAATTACTACTTTTCCTTCATTGTGTCTGTTTATGTATTAATAAATGCAACTATGATATGTGATCGAAGAAACAACAGTCTGATTGATTCTGAGAGACTGATCACAGTTGAATGTAAGTGTGATATAAATAGTGGAATGTTATTATTTACATGTGATACTTTCGTTGCGATGCTACGGTCGTGGGTTACTTCTAGCAGTTTCTATGACGCTAAAAAAACAGGGATGCATCGTATGGTCCCCGTGGATATCAGTACTGAGCACTTGAAATGCAAGGTCTGGCTTGGTTTTTTCCGTGTACCTTTCACTCTGCTCTGTCCTAAGGGGCATGCAAACTGGCCACATACGTTTAGGCTGGTGCTTGCTGACGGGAGACTAACACGATGCCCTGGCTGGCCCTGAAAGCCAGGCATGGGCATATAATTTATACACGGAAGTGCCCACAAGAGATCCAATGCTGCAACTCGCTAAACTCGATGTTTCACCATTCGGGAAAGACTACTGCAGTTATTTACAGCAACGGACGGGTTAGATGCAGGCCTACGGTTAAACGCAAAAACTCCATGATATTGCGAGACAGCGCGGGTGGATGGAGAGGGTAGATTACAGCAATGGTGACTTCCAATATTATCACCAGCACGGAGGAGGAGCTGTTATTAAAACATATCAAGCGAGGCTTCTCGATTCCGACGCTTCCTGGCTTGATTAAAATCGTCGACTCGGATAAGCATTTTGTCACTCCGGCTCCAGTCCTGGGTAATGAAGTTGTAGCTGCACCGAGATGGGTTGCGTGCATGCAAAGGAATCCACCAATCCAACCTGCAAGAAGGATGGCCTGACAGCGTTCTTTGAACGCTTGTCACGTATGTCGTAGATTGGAGAAGAGGCAAGACTGCATGATGGGAACTTCTTTCCATTTGTCCGCGTCCCCGGAGGCAGGGTCGGTCCCAGCATGATGAAACCATCGACACTGTTTCTGTACTCGTCGGCAACACTCTGGATTTTCAACGTTAGGTCTACTACTACTTACTGGTACCCTGAAAAGAGCTTATCATTGCCAAAGCATAAGGTTTAGAATAGTTTAATGTTAGTGCAAGGGAGATTCCCAGTGTTCTGCTACGTAGCTTTTAAGACAATACAGTTTCGTGCATAAATATGGAATGATATTCGATAGCAACAACGTACATGTCTATAGACGCTGGAACACAAACTCGTTGTAATGGTGCCACTTACTTTCGTCACTCTCTGGCGGGCCAGAGCTGGTACCCGACGCACAGCAACTGATGAACTTAAAGTTGTGACTGGCCAACAGATCAAACGCTTGTTCCAGGTACACGTGTTTCAGGTAGAATCTGGCGCTGTACCGCGAGCTCATGCCGCGGTCAGGGTCGCGTGTCTCGTTCAGAGAGTCCCCGAACACCTCCCGTGCAAGCGCCACGCGGCCGCTCACCAGAATTCTCAGGATCTTTCGGAATTTGACGTCGGCCAGCCCGTCCCGTCCGAAGGCGAAGGTTCCCCGGTATCCGATGGTCAAGAACCCGGGTGAGTCAGACCTGTTCTCCACGCTGACCGAGTTTCCGACATTGTCGGCTGTGCTGTCAGCCTGAGCGGCTTCTGACAGAGCATTGGCTAGGCGCGATAGTTGGTAGTATTCCGCCTCCTGCCTCAGTCGCCCTCGCTCAGCGAAATTCTCGGGTAGCACCAGTTTTTGATTGCGCAGGTAATCTAGTATGTACTTGAAGAGCGAGCCGTCACGGTCTATGAAGTAACGACCTCGTGAATCTCTTTGCAGTGGTCCCCGGGTCCGGCCTGTGAACATCTGAGCCAGCATGGAGTCCCCTTGCTGGGTCAGCGTGGACAGGGCTGTTGTATACAGCTGCCCGCCAACATTCAATTCCACCACGGCGGGAAACTCAGAGTCGGATGACATGCTGGCACACGACACGATGCAATTCGCTTGATCGTGATATTGGGAATGATCCAAACGTTCAATGGACCATCGCTCAGTACAGTCCACTCTCAATATCTGAGCGGACGCACAGCATACACGACGATTTTAACGTGAAGGTGGTTGCGGCCCAGTCACGGTCACCTTCAAAGCGCAAGTGACTCCCTAGCCTGATCAAAAACTTCACCGCGTGGGAATTTTGACAAGGATGCTGGTCGGCTATCTCCACGATAACGCCAGGACGAAAACTCATCATAATGAACGAATGGCAACACCTCCTCGTTATCTCCGACGAAGTGAAAATCATGGGGCAGTTGCATGGTTCATGGGGGAGAGAATAAAACCGTCGGCACTGTCCTTTTCCTCCTGCCGTCTGATGATATGAACATGTACGTTAAGTGCTATTTCTCTGTACTCTGTTCCAGCACGTGGACTGCATTTAATAGCGTTAGTCATATGGATTCGTAGTCATCTATCGATACCATGGAGGACTACAACACTCCAAACTCCTCCATGCCGATATGTTTCCCTCGGCAACCGGATAATGTGCACTATGATCTGCGGACTGCCATGTTCATTGTAAAAGGTACACCTACGCAGTCGCAAACGGAAGAACACAATGTAACTTTCATGTAAAACAAAGCAGATAAGAAGAACAAGGTCTGAAATTATTTCATTGAGCCTCAAGAGTGCCCATCACTGATGAACTATATCATGTAATGTGCTTTGATTTCTTATAATAAAACAATGTGACCAGTTGTCATGTGTCTCTTTCTGTGTGTCTGGTCAAAATGTGACATAGGAATGAACATATTTGAACATACACTGGTTGCAGTGTCTGTGGCTTGGCAACAGCAATACCAATGGTCTCAAAGGTATTATTTTTCTGTATTGATTGCTGTCCAAAATTGATTCGATTTTCCGATTCACGTGGCTTTCATCCGATCCCCTGATTTCAGAGCAACGCTGGACTATTTGCACTGAGGCAATTCACACTCTCGACTTGCTGCGTTTAAATATGGAGTGCCTTCTCATACGACCTTTATTACGTGTCGAACGCAATGGAGCAAATCGGATTTGATGCGCGTGCTATATGGGGTATCTCACCGCGTGCCGATGAGAGTGGCGTGCGCGTTATTGTATTGCTAAGAGGGCCTAGGACGGATATCTATACGATGTCTTAACTCGTAGCAACGGGAATATATCTGGAGACAACACTGAGCAGTTATGGCATACGCTGTCGAACTGCTGCGTGTTATAATGGTAAGCCTATATATATGAGCAGCATTTTACTTTTCTCGCAATTTTTTTTTTCAAATCCAGTTTTCGAGATCATTCTCGTGATGCTAATGCGGCACACCAACTAACGCCAGGAATTTGGTTACTTTTTTCTAATGTCCTGGAACTTGCTGTTTATATGTACTGTTGTGTTTCAATTAACCTTATTTCAATTTTTGCATTGCCATTTTCATAACATGTTTTCACGCCTTGTGGTCTTCATGCTAATACGAATTTCCAGTTTCATGACCAAAACTGAGATGTCATACATACCAAGTAGAAAACTTCTAAATTCTAAACTGACATTTCTTCGGGGATCCAATGTGTAAATACACGGCAATAAGCCAATAAGCTGCCTTTTAAGGAATTGTTTTAATGAGACAACTTGGGTTTGCAATTAAAGCAGGAAAAACATAATTATCTAGGTGTTAATTGAACACTATCTTCCCGTGGTTTATATCACAGCAACAGAGCATTGTTGGCCAGAAAAGCGTGGTGAATTTTAAATCTTCGAAAAAGTGCACTTGTCCATGTGCTGATCGTCCGACAGGATTTCAAACGGTTCTCACATTATGGGAGTGGACCATAAAGTTGCATAAAGATGCTTCTAAGATTTAAAAAAAAAAAAGGAGAGGACGATTTCAAACATCCACATCTTGAATTAAAATTTAAAATTTGCAAGTAGAGATCGGCTAAATATTTTAAACTACCAAACATAAAAAGTAAAGGATTGAGAACTGCTCATCAATGCAATGTCAAGCCAAAACATTTGATATATTATTACTTTAACTGACGTGTCCGCGAAGGAAGGAACAATATGATTAAAGATCATGAATGGATTCCAATACGCAGGCTGTTCGTGGCATGTAAAATCGGCCTGGGCTGAAGTCATTTCCACTTGTTTTGATAAATTGCGTGCGATTCACAACAGAAGGCCCAAACTGTGAGTTAGAAATTTGTGAAATGTGTCTTTCAGGCTTCATTGTGTGTAATTATTTATACTTTGGAATGGAATGTTTGAGGGGTGAAATAAATGACATCATGAAATGCTGGTGACGTAAATGATTTTGCTAGAATTGTGTAGAGTGATATCAAAGGACTTCATCACTAACAAAATTACACACTGAAGTTAACTGAAATAATCTTGACAACTTTTACGTGTATGTCTGTCTATAGGTATTAAGTGAATTTACAACCATCGGCATAAACCAAATCAAATTACGCTGTATTTATGGTATTCATTGGTCAGTTCCATAAATTTGGCTGTCTCAGTCCTGATCTAATTATGCTATAGTTCCCCCAACTTTAAATATTTCGCAATTCAGGAAATCAAGATAATAAAATGCACGAGTCTTCTGTGCAGGAATTCCCTAGCCAAACAGAATGCGTCTCGAGAATGTGGCTTCTGACCACAGTTTAAAAATAAATTTTGACAGTGCTGTTCTACTCGAAAATTTGTTGTGACCTTTCCGAAATGACAAATTTAATTTGATTACATAATCCACATTTTGAATGGAAAACGTGACAACAAATATCAGCTGTTTTCTTGACTGTGTTTTAATTGACTTCAAGTGTCTAGTCAAGTTATCTTTGTCTTTAGGGTGCTGATAGTTTAGATTCAGTCGTTCATTTTATCTGTGAAACTGAATTGCAACCAAATTTCAGTCGACCAGAATTTTGTTTTTCTGAACGGTGTATTTGCTTCGCAAAACAAGAGAAGGCGTGCACCATCAGAGGCAACGTTTCGAAGTTGTAATTAGTGATGATCTGAAACACCATGTATTGTTATTATGCACATATATTTCTCAGCGGTGATCAGGCACCTGAAGTATCACACGAGCAGTGCACGTGCTAACATGCTCGAGAAAATAGTGACAACGCTGGGTGGTATTGGTATAATGTGCACGTACGTTCTTTCCATTTTATGCTTCCTACGGAAATGTTCACAAGACGTCACGTCCTGCAAAACGTGTGACATCCCCAGTAAACATCCGGTAATGACTAGCGGTAGGATACAAGTCCAGATTCCTGTACATATTCAAAGAAATGCGACGTGGGATCTGAATAAAACAAAATACAATTTTCACCCTAACCAAGTGATTACATTCTTCACAACCTGAATTGTCTAAATATTCAGGTATAGTCTCGGCCGCATGCCTAGGGTCGATCTACGAAAAAAATCAGGGCCTATGTGAAAAGTCTGTAAAGGCCTATGAATTGAAACGAAAGTAGGTGTGTCATGAAGCACAAACACCAAAAATCAAACAAAACCCCAAATTTTTTCGGGTACCTCTCTCTCTGCCTTCTTAGAGGAAAGCTTCAGACTAAATTTGTTTCCAACATAATCCAACTTGGCATCAACACGCGGAAAAAACAAAAAAAAAACAGGCTCACTCGCCAAGCAGCACTATAGGTAACTGTGCGTACAAGCCGCTCATGGAGTTTCGCCTATCGGTGCCTGGGGCACGAAACGCTTCAAGTACGGCTGTGTACATGTATATGGAAATGAGTCAGAGTGAAGAAGTCCCCAGCTGAGAATCTCCATTCAAGTTTTAATGATTCAATACAGAAATAGCCCCCCCCCCCAAGTCACATCTGGTCATGGGACGAAACTGTTTTCATCTATGTAACTGAAGTGCATTAAATTAATGTAGGTAGAGTCTCATTTGTGAAGATAAAGCCAAACAAACGGGAGAGGGTTCATTCAAATCTAGAAGCAGGTCCATTTCAAAATCTATTTTGAAATCTTACTCAGCAATCCCAGAAAATAATGATTTTTACTACGATACTCGACAGATTAAAAAAAATAATCTTCCAACAGAAAGCCGGGAGATATCAAATGTCGTTCGGAAAAGATTTCAATTACTTTAGCGTCATCCTGTTGAAGGCACTGGACGGTCACTCAACCCCAGAGATCCTCATAATCAATCCCGTCGTAGTTGATACTGTTAACTTGTGTTCTCGGTGGATCAGCCTGGGGACTGACAATAATGGGGGGGGTATACAGTTCTGGAAAAGGAGAGAGAGCAGCAAGTCTATTGCGTAATGTGAAAATTTGGAAAAGATTCGGGAACGTATTACCGCCGCGCCACCGTTTATTTTACGTACGTACGTGAAACTATATCTAGTACGTACATATTCATTCATGTTTGCACGTAAAAACCGTTAGGTCACGTAAGTATACATGATAGTTTTCACTTACGTTCGTGAGACTAACGTGTGCATACATGTACTTTTAAAAATATTTCATGTGTGTGGCGATCAAACGTTTCTGTATAAAGGCTTGTTCCATGGGACATTTAGGGGAAGTAATTTTATCCATGTGTGCCAGCAATTTACTGACACAGAACAGGCACTGAGCTCAGCCGGCAAACACATTGCAAACCACGTGATTTCGCAAAATCTATAGCTCAACTTCTAATTGTAAAACACGCTGTTAAATGCAACACTGCTGTTACTTCTCATTATTTACGTTTTGACACTAGGTCGTCGTCACACCGTGAAAAAGTGTATTCATTGTATCTGTTTCACTGACGAAGCCAGCTTTTAGAATAGAATGTTGACAAGAATATAATATGTAATCAGTGCTCTGAAATATGTAATTGCCGAACTTCCAGTAACTGAGTACCTTCTTCAGTGCAAGAAGATTCAGTTCACGTCAGTTCAGCGAACTGAATCTGCTTGCCCTGAAGAAGGTACTCGGTTCCCGAAAGCTCGGCAATTACTTATTCTAGAGCACTGATTTGATATTATATTCTTGTCAATATTTTGATCACGGTGCTACGCAGCCCTTTCATTTCTTTTTAGAATAGAATTTTTGATATGTCGAAACAGCTCTTATTTGCATATCCAAATTTTAAAAATCACAAACAGTCTCTTGCGTTTACACTTCTTGACGTCATCGGTGAGACTGAAATTTTGTCGTTTACTCATCGCAATACCGCACGTTTACATTCTTTGAAACTGAAGCACGCAGTTCGGTAAATGTGACAGCAAGGTTGTTCATGCACAACGGATGCGCCTACGGCACCAACTTTCGTCTATGTAAACACCGTAAAGCTCTGATGTGTCACAAGTGTATGAAATAAAGAACCAGACGGAGCCGCATTAGAACAAACACTGGACGTGGATGACGAATGTGAATGACGTCAGTGGCATCATTAGCGACATGTTAGAATGTTCCCATATTCGCCATTGTATTTACTTTACTGTCCTGACTGTAGCCTGCTTGAACACTGAATACAAGGCACATGTTAAAAAGCCATGTGAATCATTTAACCCCTTCCTTACTTTACAAGAACATGGATGTGAGTAGCCAGGATCAACCACCTCTCTCCACTTCTTTTTTTCAGTGAAGTGATTATGTGTTAGCATCTAACAAACACACTACAAATGGAAGATGGGGCACCAGGCTCAACCCATCCGACGCCCCCACAAGTTTTGTTTGGGCACCTGTGATTAACTTTACATCTTGAGATAATCATTACGGCTTTTCCCTTTTATTTTTCAACATCTGTTTGTTTTTCCCTGGCCTTGTTTGCGTTAACGGATGGAATTATTGGCGCCACAGCTATACCTCGATAACCTTTCACTAGTCGACCGACCTTGTCGGCACTTTTTGGTCTCGCATCATTAAAGAAAAGCATAAAGCACTTTAAGCCCAAAACATCTCTTCTTGGTGAGTTTATTGTAATCATCAAATGCGTGGTCTCCTTTTTTGGGGAAATAACGAGAGGTTGCCGACCGCTGCATTAATTCCCCTCGAGTTCCCCTTGTCCCGCAGTCTCACAACTCGTGCATGTCGTGGCGGCAATGGGTCACGCCCCCTGTTTCACAGTGCGTTCCGCGCGCCCACACAACACGTGTCGCCAGTTTCAATGAAAGCCCCCCCCCCGACAGCGGTAGCGCAGGTTCGCCCCCACACGTTGTGATGCTGGTTCGCTTGTTCGATGCGAGCCCTAACTGTCTGCATTGTCGCGCAAAGCTCGTGCCACCGACGCTGCTAATTTAACGCGTTCACGTTTCATTGCACGCGCTAGAGACCCAGGCAGAAATCGTGATCAATAATCTCTCATCGGACAGGACCTGAGATCGTGACGGACTCTCAACCACTTGCAAGTAATCGTTCCCAACCATCACCAAATGGCCACAGCCGTCACGATTTCACGCATACTCTTTTCAAGGAAATACTTGTGGCCATTTGACAAAGGAAAAAGCATGGTCTTTCAAATGGCTTCGATGACTTTGAGGGCATGGAATATTCGAAACTCAATCCGCCCCGAGTTGAAGTGCACCCCCATGCGGCAAAAGAAAGACAGGCATTTGTATCAATGGTTTTCCAAGCGGGTTATTGCACGTGTTCCGCGTGTACGCAAAGGCCACTATCTGCAACCTCGTTCCCATATGTAGGATCTTGCCGCGCACTGTTGGTTCCTACCATGGCTTGCACTAGTGAAGGAACACGCACGCAGCCCATGGAGTCGAGGACGAATATCCGGTTCGTAAGTGTGACGTCACTTCAGTTTAAATCACGCCCATTGCACATGCACATAGAGTTCTTTATATTAGAGATCAACGGTTACATGCATTGATCGCCTTTAAATGGAACCGGAAGTTAACCAGCATTTCAGCGGTCGTCCAAAGGCAGCGTACAAATCGTGGCGCTTCCGCCTTTGTGACGAAGTCACTTACAAACTGGACTAAGGAATAAATTCGTTACGCGTACTCAGCGTGCTCCGCGTCTAACGCGCCACTGATCTCTATTATAAATGTGCGCCTATGCTGCGAGTACTTTGATCTCCATTATATAATGGAGATCCATTATATAATGGAGATCAATCGGGTACCCCCAAAACGCCTTCTTTTGTTCCGCTCGGAGTATGTGGGTGTCTAGTGAATAATCTGGCCTTTGAATCTTCCAGGTGTGATTTGGAGCAATCACATTTGCTATCCCCCTAATCAGTTTGCTTATCGTAAGAATCTTGGAACAAATGATGCACTCCTCCGATCACCCACAAAATTCAATCAGCTCTGGATCGTGGTCATGAGGCTAGGTTGGTTCAGCTTAACATGTCAGCTTTTTGATCGTGTGATGTTTAGCGTTTAAGCTTCATCACTTTGGAATTGGTAGATCAGTGTTTACAATTTTGACACAATTCCTCAGGTGCCGTCTCCATTGTGCTTCTGTTGAAGGCTGTTTGAGTGATTGGCATTCGGTAAGCTCAGGAGCTCCTCAAGGGAGCGTTCTTGATTTTCACAGCTGATTTGTTTCGGAACACTGCTAATCAGCTCTATGGTTACGCACTTACCAGTACAAACGCTGCTTCTCACCGAGTACAGTTGTACTTTCGAACCGTTTGGATGGTGCGATATGTGAAGCTGGTAAGGTCCATTCTTTCAAAGAGAAGGCAAATAACTTCGCCCTTTCATTGGACCATGATTTATCTCTTGTATAACTTTTTTCTACGTGCTTTTACTTGACGCTTTCGTGGGTTGCTGGATGGCGACTTATAGCTTTTATGCTTGTTTCGTCTTTTATAATACATGTAATAATAATTTGCTTCACGGCTCCGCAATCATCCAACTTGCTCTTAACAATCCAAACACACTTGCCGAAACTTTACTTTGAAAACTAACTGCCATTTACGGTAGATTTAACACCAAAATGAAAACTAGATTATATCAAACTGGTCGTCATACACAAGCATTTCTATAAAAATATTACCTGTATTCGCGAGCAATTCATTACTGTGCTGCAGCACGAATAGCCTAAAACGAATAGCCTAAACAAAAACCTAAATCTATGAGGATAATTGGAAGTCCATACTGGGACAATAATCCTTTGGGATTCGTGGGCTGACTGCACACTGAACAAGACCTGGAGACAGTCATCATCGACAGGTCAGTTCGTAGGAGACCAAGCTTGATGCACCCCTTGGCTGTTGTCTGTTTGTAGGGCCATTGCGTTGTCTCATGTGGCTGCGCAGATCGATACGCAGTCCCTGTTGTACTTATTGTAAATGAACGGAGAAGCCTAGGTCGCAAGGGTTATTGCAGCACGCTTCTTCCGGTCTCTCTTCTGTTGCGAGCTGACCTCTCCTCACGTCTGCATCTGCGATGCCCTCGCGGATAGCCTGACGCCCGTCACGCCAGGCATCTCGATCTACACAGCAAGCATCTTCCATCTGTCTGGAGAGATGTTGCAGGCTTTAAGGTCTCTCCTGCAGGTGTCCTTGAATCGGAGTGAAGGGCAATTGACCCGTCTGGTGTTAGTGGCCAGCTGTCCGTACAAGATGTCTTCTGGCAGCCTCCCATCCTCCATGTGTCGGATATGTTCCATCCACAGAGGGCAGTGGCGGCTCAACAGGGAATACATGCTGGACATCTTTGGCTTACTGCTCGATATCACTGTGTAAGATATGGTCCTGCAAGCTGATTCCTTGGACACCTTGAGACACCACATGCGGCAGGCACTGACCCGGCGTTCTTAACTCGTGTAAGTGGTCCAGGAGTAAGTTTCATAGATTGGGGTGCTGAGAACACTGGCCTTCTAGATTCGAATCTTGGTGTAGTCTGTTAGTGCTTTGTCACCAGTGCCCTCTGTCTACCCATGACAGTGTTTGAATTCCCAAGCCGTCTGTTAAGCTTGCAAGTTTGACGTCGAGTAAGAGGTGGTTTCTGATTATCGAAGTGAAATGGTCCCAACCTGCAGGATGATGCGCTGTACAACAGGACATTAAACTACAACGAGGTCGAGCCGAAGGAACACGAGGGTGCCTAATAAGGCATCTACGAACGACACACATCTGCCCATGGAGCAAAGCCAGAGATCGTGAGGGAGGGAAACTCGTGAATCCGGACAAAAACCGTCAATACACAGAAGAAACAAACGAGTTGTCGCTGATAGAACTTGCCCCCAAAATTGCAAACAAGCTAACCAAAAAGCCGCGAATTTCGCGCAACCGTCGCAAGACTTTCGCACGAACGTCGCAAAACAGTCGCAGAAAATTATGTACAATTGTACAATCAATATGTACAAGTCGCGGCGTTTCTCGAGCGAAAGTGCCGTGAACCCAGTTCGCCAAGCCTCCAAAGTAGCCAACTCTAGTGTGAGGCCACCTTTAGCAAACAAACAAACAAACAAAAAACCTCAAGGAGATACAACCAGGGCATTTTTTCATTCAACTCAGCTTTGAATCTGATCTGATAATTGTGTAATGAGATTATTGCAAAGACTGTAAATTCGACACTCGACAACGCAGTTGCTCATAGATTTATTTACAATTTGTAACCTAAAGTGGTAAAAAGCAATTACGGGGATGGAGACGCGGCAACTAATAGAATGCACATACATAAGGCATGAAGCAGATTACACAATTTAATAACTGCCGCGCCATTTTCACAGAAATTCAATCAGTTGCTTTCCATCAATTTGGCTTCACAGATTAGAGTCGTCAATCATGCACACGGGGCCGCACTACTGCTCTAAGACACTGCAATTTACCTGCTTGAAAAAAATAAAACCTATGCTATGAGGTATGAATACTGTCAAGATGCTTTTAATGTTCTCAGCAGAGTGTAGAACAAACTGAGTGCCTAATGTGACAACATTAGAGCTCTGGTTTCGAATCTGAGGGTAGAGTATAATATTAATTAATAGTTAAATCGATGTATGGTTGAAATCGTGAAAAAAGCAATATTAAACGATTGTCCTGTTCACATGCATGAACCTGATGGGAAATCTAACAACAGCACTGCACCTGTCGTGGGAACCATCATTTGCATCCCCAGGAGCAATCCAACAAACCAATAAGAAAGCCCTAGTCTGTAATTTCAATAGCTAATGGAATGGAATCAGAAGACAAGGTTTTGTTTTCTTTCATCATCAGCGTAGCCAAACGATTGATACCAATTCCGCCCGTTTCAGACGGTAAAAATATTGCCATGCGCGCCGAATCAAGCGGAGTATAAAGCATATACATTTTGGTTTTCAGCATTCGTTTTTATTATTCTTTCTTTTTCTTCCGTAACGGCTTTCTGCGATGTTGATAGAATGCCAAATGTTGCATGACGCAAGACATCTATTCCCTGGGTTTCCATAGCAATAAAGGATATTCTAAAGGCAAATATGATTTCAAGGAAAAATCACTCAAGTCAGATTGCGTTCTTTGAAGAAAGTCGAGGGGCAGATTCCATTTAATGGGGCCCGAATTGAACATGAAGTTTGCGTCATGGAGCCTTTCAACAATGAGAAATCACTGGACCTCACCCAAGCTTCTGGGCCATCTTTGGCACATGCACTTAGGCAAATGTTGTCAGCACTAGTCCATTAACTTCACAATCGGTAATGATGTCCTTGGATCTCATATGCGACATCAGATTTGTCGTCATTTTCAGGAAGAGACAAAACTCTATCCGAAAAGAAAAATCCAGGTTTCGAGCTCGAAGACAGTTGGTCTCTTTTGTAAACGATCATTTCCCCAAGACTTGACTTTCCCTTGACTATAAAAAAGCTACCTCATGAAAGATCAGATCTTTAATGACACAAACACTACAAAATCATTTTCAAAATTGTTTATTTTGTAAACAAACACATATGTCTGTTTGTGAAAACCCTGGATTTCGTGTGCATTTTGTCTCTTCGTGAAAACGGTCCGCATTGGCGAGTGACAGGTGCATACTGTTACATTTGTATATATTTCCAGAGTCACTTTTGTCTCTTCGTGAAAACGGTATAAAACGGATTTTGCCCTTTAACATTGTATCTATTGAGGACAATTTCCCTCTTCGTGAAAACGGTAATTGCGGATTAAGTTGCAGTTTTCTCATCACGATCATCGTGATTTGGCTGGTTTGATCAGCCTCCGTCTCCGTGATCCTGTCCGCAGCCAGTAGTGCCCCGTTCCATCCTCCACAAAGCAAGCCTCGCGCTTGTCCGCCACCGCATCAGTACCACCAGATCCACCCATTCATCTTTAGACCAGCGCATTTCCACCACCCAAGAACAGCTCCAATCCTGCACCTCCACTGCTGATTACAACAAAATCCAGCAACTCACCCCATCTCCTACCGACCACGCCTTCAAGGAAATTCACCAAGTCAACAAATTTCTCAAGACTGCAAACGTGTCACCGGGACCAGTTCAAGCATCGCATTGACTCAAGTAATAGGGTCTTCTTTATCCCTACGCCGACAGCCCCAACCCCTAGACACGGCATCTCCTATATCCCCACGCCGACAGCCCTAACCCCTGGGATCTCCGTGCCCTCAACGTGCCCTCTTTACTGATGTAACGGAAGTTCTGTCGCTGGGCATGAACTCTGCCCTAGTCCCTCAGCATTCACCCGTCGAAGAAACAGAAACACACGTCAACCAAGCCCAACCTCTCAAGACAAGACCCGTCAGTCATCACGCCACTACGCCACGACAAGTCCATCCACAACCTCCAAGCAGACAAGGGCAACGCCACAGTGGCCATGGACAAGTCCGAGTATGACCACAAAGTAGCAGACATTCTCAACTCTGGCTGCTACCGTGCACTCCAGAAAGACCCCACCATCCATCAAGAGGAAGCTGCGACACAAGCTTGTATCCCTCCAACGTTCCAGCAACAGCTCCCAGTCCCTGTACAAACAGTTCTAGCCATCCAACTCCAAATCCCCGAGGTTCTTCCATCAACCCAAGATCCACAAGGCTGATATTCCACCATGCCCCGTCGTCCAACACAGCCAAATTTCTCGACAAGATCCTGCACCCACTGATGGGTAACACTGAAAACCACATCAAGAACTCGAACCAGTTCGCCAGCTTCATCCAAAGTCTCACTCTTCAGCCGGACGACATCATGATCAGCTTTGATGTTGTCTCCCTTTTCACTAATGTCCCCACCTCCGACATCGTCAATGAAGGCTTCAAGTAGACCCAACCCTTAAGGATCACACCGATCTCACTCCACACCAACTTCCTGACCTGCTACCCACCTGCGTCAACTCATCAAACTTCAGCTGGCGGGAGAAATTCTATGAGCAAACGGCCAGAATCTCCACGGGATCTCCTATATCCCCGGTTTGGGCCAACAGATTCATGGAAGAATTTGAACAGAACGCCATCGCCACAGCAGACTACAGACTCGAGATTTGGCTCAGGTACGTGGACGACACCTTTGTCATATGGCAGCATGGGCAGGACAGCCTCCAACGCTTCCTGGAACACATCAATGGGCTTCATAGCAGCATCCAGTTCACCATGGAACAAGAAAAGGATAGCAGCATCTCATTTATTGGTGTTTAGGTTTCCAGAAAGCAGGATGGCAGTCTTTGCCCGCCGAGCCAACCGGAAACCCACTCATACAGATTACAAATAGATATCTCCATAGCGCTTCGTTCCATCAAGTCATCAAGATCAAGTCTTCAGTCAACCGGGCCCTTGTTCTCAGGGCATACAACGTCTGCAACAAGGAATATCTCTCCCAAGAACTCCATCACATCACAACGGCGCTGCAACGCAATGGATACAAGCGAGCCAAGTCAAGACCCAAGATCCACCCCCGACCGAATGGTCACCTACACCCAAAGCCAATTAGTTAGGGTCAACAGGTCTATCACCTTCCCCTACTTAGGCAGTACTTTCCATCACATCCAGCACATCCTCCACCAGTATGGTATTCGAGTGTACCATACAGCATCCATGAAGACACAGAACCTGCTGACCTCCCACAAGGACCGGTGTATTCCCACATCACTAGCCAGGAGTTTATAAGATCCCCTGCCAATGCTTCAAAGTGTACATCGGCGAGACCGGCAGGGACCTCCCTATCAGACTCAGTGAACACAGAGCCCGTGGAAGAAAGAAGTCGATATAAGTCTACCATCATTAAGCATTCCCACACCCAAGACCACCAGATTGACTGGGGCCAAGCCAAACTCATTCCCAGCATTGAACGTTGGTACCCTCGACGCATCAGAAAAGCCATTGAAATCCTCAAACACAGTACCGCAAAACATCGGTTGCAACACCAGCAACATCTGGCATCCCATCCTCACACCCCAATCCAATGGGTCTCCTATACCAAGAACATGTTCCCATTCGATGGGTCTCCTATACCCTTGGCAACCTTCCAACACGCTCCCCTCCTTCATAATGACACACCTCTGCTCGAGTGCTTTTAGTTGGATCCTGAGTTAGCATCCTCTTCACAACTCATCGCCTGCAGATACATTATAAGCAGCTTCACCACTGATACCTCTGCAGTCTCCTGACGACGGACAGGGCATACCGTCCGAAACTTTGACAACCCATCGGTTCTTTTCAGAACTACAAATACTCATAAAAGAGATATCCTTGCATAATGCTACTTCAAACCTTTACAACTAACTTGCTGTACCTTCCCCGTGAAAGCTTCAAAGCTGATTTGAGTAGATTTGGTTTTAAATAAAAACAATTACACCACTTTGTAGGCAGCAGTTAGCCTTGCTGGTTTTGCTTTAAAAAAAAACCAAAATTTGAAAAAAAATCACGATTTGGGGCACTTTTCTCTCTTCTTAAAAGCATTTTTTTAGAAGTCAGCTTTACTCTTATCAATCTAGTTACTCCAGCCATATAAAACGATGTCGATATTAATAAACAAATTCTATTTCAGGATGACAGATTGCGTAACAGATGCTCTGCATCTCGATAGCTCAAACGAACATTACCAATGAGACACCTTTCTCTTTTACAAACGACTGAATCTTCTCATCCTGCATACCTGCATGAGTTTCAGTCCCATTTTAAAGCTCTCCATATAATCCATAATAACGCCACCCAACCTTTGCCAAAAAATATTGAGTCGATCGCAAACATCAATCAAATATTTCTATGATGATGGCTCAAGTTTATCACGTCAAGCCCCTTAAGTCTTAATGCATATTAAATAATAAGTCGCACAGCTCAGATAAAAGACCAGAATACAAATGATTGACATCAGAAGCTACCTACGATCCTTATAAACCATAGTGGGAATTGGTTCAATTTATTTTTGTTTTAATTTTGCCCTATCGGAACAAATGAAGTTTCAATCATGTAGTTGTAAATTTGGTCAAGGTGTGCTTGAACACGAAACGAACAGTCCTTACCCATTTTCCCTTACTCTGTGTACCATTTCCTGCTCAGTCAGCACATTGCACATTCAAGTCATTTCTTGAATTTCTTTCTTTTTTTTTATACAGTAATTCTAGTGTGATGGTACACTGCTGTATACTGAAATCACTAACCTAGTGAGGGCGACAGACTGCCTCTAATGATAACATCGATCATTTCAAGAGATGGCGCTATTCAAAAATCGTGAAATAAATGTACTAATCATATTATTAAGAGAAGCTGCAATCAATTTGTTTTAAGACAACCTTCAGAATGTACCTTTTTCTCTCAGTTAACCTTATTTTCAATTTTTAACTTTATCAAAGGGTAGATTACTGCTTTTGGTTTTATGCTTATGAATTTTCATATTCATGAACGTGATGCCATCTCAGGAAGAAGCCTCAATGTTACATTGATTTGTACACACAAAATGTCCTGCATTTTATGTAGATTTTACTAGAGTCGATTTTCTCTTCTTTGCCGATCCAATTATGTTTATGTATAGAGCAATAAGCAAGCGTCAATACCTTTATCAGAAAGGTTTTAAGTGAGTACATTCTAGGCGCACAGTTTGAACAGAAAAGCCTTGGCACTGAACTCTGTCTTCCCTGGATGACATCACAGCAACAGCGCCCACAGTTGTCCAGGAAAGTTATGGATAATTTTATTTGTTTAAAAAGTGAACTTTTCAGTGCATTTAAGCAAATGGGAATGTCAAAGAGTTTTCATAAATTGAACAAGAATACAAAGTTGAAGAGAAACTGTGTCTCCGAAAAATTCATTGCAGCTACTTACATAGATACTTTCCCGAAGAAATTCAAGTGGACTGTTTACAGATTATAAATAAGTATCCATGGGCGTTGCGAAGGAGGGGCCTCCCTATCCATATCTAACCCCCCCACCCTAACCGGGATTAAAAACTGAAAATAACAAAGGAAAAGGAATATTGAAAAGTGAAAAACTAATCAATAAAAACACACCCAACCCCCGCAAAAAGGGGAAAGATGGTGAAAACTTCCTATTTGCTTCATAATACCATCGTTGATGGTTTGCCAGTTTACAATCGATAGTGATCCCCGGAAAAAATCCTTACAAAGCTTTTTTTCGATGTCTTTTAATTGTGCAATACCTGATAAGTGAAGATCACTCTTTTTCAAAGACCAAAGCCAAACTAACAGCTTGTATTCTGCAGTCTTTTTAAATACATTTTATCTGACACTAAACAATGAGAACAGTGGCCTCAACAACTTAACAAATCTGACTAAGGTACATTGAGTCCACTTGCAACACCTTACTTTCTCCATATACTAAACGATCTTACAAAGTATTCAGTCCTTCCACAGGAAGTGAGCGGTTATTTATAAATCATGTCGAACAAACCCTCTGCAGCTGATATTAAATTGTAGTGTACCAATTCATCATCAAAACGTCATAAATGATTAAACACTGAAGCCTGCTTGACAAGGCTTTGGCCTTGACTGACCAGGTGTGACAAAAGAAATCATATTTTTCTTTGTGCCCAGTCCATACAGCTCGATGTAAGCAAAATGCACAATAGCCAAAAAAGAGGTGTACGACCGGATTTTGAAAGAATGCGTTTGTGTGTCGAAGGAGGGGCATCCTATCCACGGGCCAGTAATTTGCGAGGGTCAACAACACCTGCAAAGGCTATAGGTTGACACGCAGAGTGTTAAACAACTTGTTTGGACAATAGCAGTAGCCAATATTTCTTCAAACCATCGTTGGTGGGTAATTTCGAACGACTGGTTTTTTTACTGTTGTTATGCTCTTTCGACAAAGCGTACCTTGCGTGACATCAACATATAGCACCCTCCTGCATAGATTGTACAAAAGAATGGGAAAAAGTACCACCTTTTCCTTTCCAGTGAAAACTATTTAGATCTTGTTTGTATTATAACATAATACAAGTGCAGCCGAATATCCACAGCATGTTTGCTTCCTTTAACTGCTCCGAAGCAAATGTACTGGTACCGGGAAGTTCTCTTAAGACCCCGGTGAAACCAAACGACAGGTCATGTAATGAAAGACATGGGAGAATACTTGGAAACGACATTTTGACGTTAAGGTGAAAGAACTTTACAAGGAAGCCTCTAAAACTGAATGGATTTGGAGTGTGGAAAATGGAAAGTATTTAGCCTTCTTGGCGATGTTGAAATTCCAAACTAGTCTATATAGACAATATACAAGTATCTGTGAATCACTGTATCACAGTGTTTTGCTATAATAATGAGAATATTTCGAAGTAGAAGATGAAATGTTATATTTTCTGTGTTCTTCCTCTATTATCTGCGAATTGTTGAAGAACGTACATAAAAATCATAATAAAAGTACTTGTTCACGAAATTAGGGAGTACACGAAAAAGAAAACATCTGTTCAGAAAAAAAATCGATTATATATGTTGTTAAATAATTGATCACAAAAATTGTTTAGAAAATCGTTCAGAAAATCGAATATTGTTTTTAAAGTGATCTCGACATGCACCCTCATGAAGCTTTAAATTAACGGAAACTTACAATGATCAGCCAACTCGGTCCACCCAACTGCGTAGATCGTGCGAATATTACACGGTGTATTAGACTTAACATAAATCGTAATGATAAATAGCTCTGACTCTGCTCACAAAATAAGGTGGTACAAATTGTGCTTCTATTCGACACTGAGGGGTACTTCAAAAACAGCCCGCGTCTTAGGCCAGAGATCAGTGCGTCCTAAGGATTAAAAAGTGCATGTAATTGCGAGTACCCTCTGGAGACAAAGAGAGTTCCCATTCGTGGGATACTGCGCGTGCGCAGTCTTCGAATTCAGTTCTCCAGAGCCCAACGATAGAAGTTTTGATCATCACCAGACATGACGGGTCGGTCAAGGTTTTCAGCAACAAAGAGCGCCGCTGACAATAAAATCCACGCCCCAAAAGACACAAGGTGGCGGAAAATTGACAGCGAGTAAATTAAATCACATTTGTGTCCGGCCGGGCCATAATTTTATTGGAGATAATCACATCACCCATGTGCTTTCACTAAAAGTATATTTCTTTGTGATAATGAAATAAGCAGTAAGGCAACTTTTTCTGATACTAGCAACTTAAACTCCGTCCTGTTTTTTTTCCCAAGTTAAAGCCAGCCACCGGTGCTTGTTTCGACCTGTTCATACT